GAAGAACGAATACGTGGCACCACGGAATACAAGGAGTAGGCTCACGCTGACAGTTTTGATGGGCCACACACATCATATGTTGCGATGGAATGCCTCACTTTAGATTTTTCTACCCATAAAAATAAATAATAGAAAAAGAGATCAGGAAGATGGACATTTGCGAATACATTGCAGACTGCTCACACATCACATGAGACGTCAGAATAGAACAAATATGAACAGGGGTCTAAGCCCGTGGCCAGCCAACCCATAGGTCCTACGCAACTAGCAGAACAGGACATGGGTAGCACAGTAATGGCCGTCCTAAACGATGCAACCACGCGCATATCTCCAGGTACATGAAGCTCAGCCGACCGCTAGGATAACCCGACCCGGATGCCTAAGCTCAAAAAGTCCACATTCTAGGAGGGAAGCTATGCTATGCAGAGAGGGGAGCCACTTATATATAATAAACGGCAAACTCCTATGGATGTTATGAAACTGTTTTGATGGAGTAACCAAAGCTGAATGGGACTAATTTTGCTGACAAGCTTCTGGCATCAGTGCGTACGTATCACAAGCTTATGCATGTTAATCCTGGACTGTAACTGACTAGAGACTCAAGGGTAATCAGCTTCTGCTCAGCAGGGTGTGGCTGCAATTGTGTACTGGCTGGCTAGTGTGAATAAATTACTAATCATAACAAAAATGTTCTCAGTTGGAATAGAGATTGTACAAAAGATTGGTAAGCCTAATATCACTTGAAATGATACAGGAGGCCACTCCATTTGTTATGGAATTTTCTGGTTGTTAACCAAATCCCGAGAAATATACAATCAGATTTTGTTGAGCCACTTTTACATTACTTAGATTTTTGTCTTGTTTTTATCTTGATCAAAACACAAACAGTATAACATCGCGATTTAGCAAAAAAGAGTAATTCACATCTTTTTCACATCAACGTCAAAAGATAAGCACAGCATGCCAACTAGAGTGAAACCTAACCCGGTATTCGGGGCATGTTTAGGATATAATTGATGTTTGTAGGCAGTACATCACATTCAAATTATCAATAATTTTGGCGTATCCCATTGGTATCATCAATACGTTTGGCATAACCTTCAAGGCTCTACAGAAAGGAATCGAACCTTTAAACGGGGGTCGAAAATAAGTTGCAGGTGCAGCAAATGAAGCAAAGCAGTTTCTTACTTTTCAGGACAAGGAACAGTAAAGGTTCCAGGTACAGAGTTTAAACTACTCCCTCTGTTCACTTTTATAAGACCTTGAAGACATTTCAGACAATGTGCAAAACAGCCTATTTTGAGCTGTCTGAAAGGACTTACAAAAGTGAACGGAGGGAGTAGCAGAATTACGGAGGGAGTAGCAGAATTACTGTCAGTTAACAAATTCTTATTCTTACTGTCAAATGTTCTTTTCTTTTTTTGGAACCATGCATACTCTGTTCTGTTAGTATGTTCAGTTTGGTAGCATGATTTCCCTTTAATTATGCAAGATCAGAATATGTAGTTTCAGTGTCTAGCTAGCTTACTGCATTTTGATCTTGGAGGGTTTTTTTCCGTGTGTAGCTGCTGCTGATGCTGAGGTTATAGAATATGTAGTTTGAGTGTCTAGCTAGCTGCTGATGAGGAATGATCAGGTGGTGGTGCTTCAAAGTTGGTGCCTGGCCATTGTGGCCTAATCACAGCCATCCAAGAGGTGGAGTAGAATAGAGTAGGCTTGTAGAGACCATGAGTGTACAATATGGCAGTGGAGACCATGGCAGTATGAGACCATATTGATGTCAGTCTGAAACTTCACTATAATGCAAATGAAACTGTTGACTGTTAACTGAAACATAAAGTCAAAATTCAGTACTGAAATGAAAGGCTCAATGTACTGAAGTGACAGTAAATTTATGCTGATTTTTATCATTTATGCTGCATTGCTGAAAATTGACAGTAAATTTTCATGTACTGAAGTGAAAGGCTCAATGCTGCATTGCTCTGCAGATTCAGTAAATTATTTTCTTGATCAACAGTAAATAATTTTTAGTACCTTGTCCGATTGTCATGGCCAAATATGACAGCCTTGAAGATTGTTGCCTTAATCATAATGTACCAGCAACTGAATGTACTTATCTTTATCTTTGGCTCCATCTTTTGGAAGATTGGCACCATTATGTAATTACTGTACTTATCTTTATATTTGGCTCCTTAATCCTAATCTACCAGCAACTGAAGTTTTGGTGCCTTATGATGCAGGGGAGATCCTGATACTCTTAGAATGGTCATTGGAGCCAACTATTTCAATCGAGAGAACAATTTTCTAGTGAATGCAGGAGTACTCTGCAATGCCATATGCCATTGCTCAGGTAAGAAAAGAGTAAAATAGAAGAGCTATAACTAAACACAGTGGTAGCTAAAGTACATAAGAATGTCATTGGTTTCTTCGGGTATCTTAAGCCTTGTGTATTGCTTCAGGTTGTCATGGCAAAAAATTAACTGAATTAGCATTGGCTAAAGAGTTAACTGAATTTTGCAGATTGTCATGGCCAAACTCTTCAAGTTGTATCTTAAGCCTTCGCTAAAGAGTTAACTGAATTTTGCAGATTCTGCTGGCCAAAAATTCAGTTAACTGCCTCTTTTTTGCAAATTCTGCTGGCCAATAATTTGCATGTTCATGGACTGATACGAACATGTAACGTATGAGGGGGGTCAACATCAAACTACTCACATTAAACTGAATTTTTTCCAAATTAACAGCTAACTGATTTTTTTTCCAACATCTAACTACTCACATGAACATGTAATGTAGGAGGAGAATCAACATCAAATTACTCAAAGTTAACTTCTGCTTAGCCAATAATTTTGATCACTGAACACTTCAATTACTCAGCACATAAACTGATTTTTTTCCAAATTAAGAGTTAACTGAATTCATCAATTTTACTTTGCACATTTTCTCACGGGCAGCCCTGTACTTCTTTTCGCTGTGCTTGCAGAGGAGATACTGCGAGCAAGGTACCTGGAGATGAACAAGCAAGGAGCCCTGTACTTGTTCTCACCGGCAGCAGCACGAGAAGGGGACCTCCGGCGGCAGCACACAAGCAGGGGAACTCCGAACGGCAGCAAGAGCAGGGGAGGAGCAGCAAGTTGCAGAGGAGCAGCAGAGGGAGATCGAGCTTGAGGTCCAGGCCCACGGGAGTGCTTGAGGTCCAGGACGAGCTTGAGGGGATATCGGCAGCGCAGGCCTCGCGGTGGCGGCGGAGCAGGTCCTGGGTGGCGGAGGAGCAAGCAATTGGGCGGCCTGGGTGGCAGAGGAGCAAGCAATTGGGCGGCGCGGCTCCTGGGCGACGACGGGCACTGGCGTGGCGGCAGCGCAGGTCCTGGGTGGCGGAGGAGCAAGCAATTGGGCGGCCTGGGCGGCGCCGGAGCAAGCAATTGGCCGACGCGGCTCCTGGTCGACGACGGGCCCTGGCAACGCGCGCGTGGCGGAGGAAGAAGGCACACGGCGACCTCTTTGTAACAGATTTGAAGCTGCGAGGATGTTTTTGCAAAATTTGCAGTGCACTACGCTGGAGACAACTTTTCTCGGACGGAGGGAGTACAAGTTTATCCTGAAAAAAAAAACGAAAGGCATTTCAACTTTCAATCATCTCACTTCAACTTATTGCACAAACCCAAAGGCACCATAGCCTCTTGATAATAAAAGTTCGGCACCAGCTCCTAGCAAACAATGGCCACCAAACAGAGCCCCAGACACATCCATGGGCCCGGTCATTAGACGTCGCCGTCGACCACCATGCCACCCTCGTCTGCAGCGGTGTGCCGCAGCCGCTGGATCGCCTTCTCCACCTGCACACATACATGACATAGCCGTGTCACCATGAGCACCGCGACAAACAGAAACTGAGCAGAGGATTCAGCCGAGATCATGCGTGAATGGGAAAAGGGCGAGCTCACCTCGCTGTCCCAGTTGGTCCTGGCCGTGATGACGATCAGAGCCACTGTCTGCACCGCCACCCCTATGATCAAGCCCCACCAGATCCCCTGAATTACGACAAACAGATGATCATCAGACCTCTGGTAAAATGTCGCGAGATAGAGGTTAACTGAAGATGAAATTAGTGCGGTAAGCTAATTGACTTACAGCTGCTCCCAGGCTTGTTTTGAACCCCAGAACGCATCCGATTGGCAGCCCAATGATGTAGTAAGCCCCGACGTTGACATAGGCAACTATGACTTGCCACCCGCTCCCGACGGCGACTCCTGCAGAAATTTCAGAACGAATTTTCAGGTCATTTGGTTCAGTGCAAACCAGGCACGTTGTGTTACTGCCAAGCGTCGCGTGTACCTGAGAGGATTGGCTGGATCCCGTTCAAGAAGATGCTGATGGCCAGCAACGGCATCAGTGCAATGACAGCCTCAATCACCGTCGTGCTACTCGTGTAGAGGGTGCTCAGCGGGTACTTGAGGGCCATGACGACGATTGTGGCGAGAATGCTGAAGGCGATGCTCACCGTGACGACCACCAGGACCGACAACCTTGCGACCTTTGGATGGCCAGCGCCAAGCTCGTTGCCGACACGGATACTGTGTGTGCAAACGTTTGATCAGCAAGCGGAAATTGGTCTACATCTTGTTAATTAGGTCTCGGTCGTTTGCACTGACCTGGCCGCATAGCTTAAACCAAGCATGATTTGGAAGTCCCAGTTCCAGTAGTTGATGCTGGAACAAGTCAAAGAGATAGTGATGCATGTTATGTCTTAATGTGTGAATATGAAGATACGATCAGACATTAGAACTTCCGACCAGTGCGTAACTATAACATGGGCTGAATCATGGTGTGGCGTACCAGATAGAGAGCGAATCAAGAGCAATCTCTGAGTTGGGGAGGAAGCCAGTCAGAAGCACAAATCCTTGCACGTACCAGACCTCCAATCTGAGCAAGAACACAACGACGCAAGACATAAACAAGCAAGAACTACCAAACAGTTAACTAGAAATCGCTGATAAATTTACTCACGCTAGCATAACAGCCGACGCGAAGGCGAGCTTGGCGTATCCCCAGAGGCCTCTGAAAGCGAGCATGGACAGCCCGGTCCACGTCTCCTTACAAGCCGGGCTCCAGATGATGTATGCCCATGTCAACGCCACAAGCACCCACCAAGAGAAGCTCAGCGTCAGAGCCGCGCCGAGAAGGCCAAAGCTGAGAACGAACACAGCGAGCCACGAGATGAGGATGTGGAAGACGAGCACAGCAAGCACCATGTATGCCACGGGGTTGACGATGTTCTGAGCCTGCAGGAACCTCTGCATCGGGCAGAAGAGTGCAAACGCGAGCAGCTGCGGCACCAGCCCACGAGCATACAGCTGCCCCGCCACAGCCACATCCTCAGCCTGCCCAATGAGCCGCAGGAATGGCCCAGAGTACCAGTAGAAGAAAGCGATGGCGACGGCCGTCACAAACTGGAGGAGGAGCGCTCTCTGGCAAACAACGCCCATCGCCCTGTACCTCCTCGCACCGTAGGCCTGGCCGCACACCGTCTGCACTGCAGTCGACATGCCGAGCTGCATTCCGCGTACAAGTGAGAAGACGTCGTTTCTAAGCAGCACAAAGTACTATACTACATAGTGCAAGAGCGAGCAGAACTAGTTACCATGATGCCGTAGGCTAGGCCCTGGATGCCGATGTTGGTGATGGAGGCCCCAGCGAGCTCGAGCTCACCAAGGTGGCCAACAAACATCTGCGTGACGAGGCTGAGAGTGAAGCTGAAGAGCGTGATGAGGATGGACGCCCATGAGATGCGCCACAGGTTGCCGGCTTCCCACAATGCCAGCCGCGACAGCACGTCGAATGGCACTGGCTCCCACCGCAGCAGCTCCTCCGAGGCGGCTGACTGGTCATCGATGAAGTCCAGCAACGGCGCCGTCGCAGCGTCGCCATCTCCCTCCATTGTCTCCTCCACTTGAGTGTTTCACTCAGTCTAGTTCATTATGGACCAAGCCCTTGTGATGCTGATATATGCATGAACATGTGTACTGTTCAGTAGTTGCAGCTAACTAACCTTCAGGTTCCATACCTACCAGTCTATTGGCTGGCTGTGAATAACTTGGTGACAGGTGCAGGGGTATGAGCACGAAGCAAATGTTACCAACTGAACACAAAACTAAAATCTGTCAGTTTTAGGTAGAAGAAAGTGAGTAAGCTTTCCAATATGTAATGCATCTGTTACTTTCCAGCATGTCATAAATACATGATACATCAACATGTCAGACAGCAATAGCTTACTTTTCTTGTTTCAGATTCAGAAGACCTCTTTCTAAAAACTTAACTATAAGCTTTCCAGCAGCTGGTTGTTTCTCTAAGGTCAGCTGATTGTCAACTTTTCGACACAATTTAATATCAGGAATTAAATTTCTCTGAAACATCTGGCACGCCACATTGTATGACTGAACTGCGAGACCTCTATTAAGAAAACTCTCCATCAGAATGTGGCATGTCTGAGCATCTCTCTGTGAGGCAGTTCTCAGTACCTTGCTGAGGAGACTGTAAGCTTCATTTATTTTACCTAATGCACATAGCTTCTCAATGACCTGATTGTATACACTCTTAAGCTCTTGTCTTGCTAACATCTTATCCAGCAGATCGAGTAATTCTTCCACTGTACCCTTCTCACAGTATCTATGTATCACTGTCCTGTATGTAACAAGTGTAGGGACAATTCCTCTATTAAGCATTTTCTTCACAAGCTCCGTCGCTTCTTTCAGCCGACCTTTCTTTCCCAAAGCATTGACAACAACAGTATAAGTTACAACATCTGGATGCCTGTTGCTGAGATACAAGTCATCCAACAAAGACAGCGCTGATTCCAAATCCCCCTGCCGAGAAAATCCATGAATTACAGTAGTAAAGTTGATAACATTAATGGTACAACCTTTGCTTTGGCACTGCTCCATGAAGTCTTTGGCCTCTGCCGGCTGGCCTTCCTTACATAACGCATGGATCAGTAAGTTAATCTCCACAGTAGTGGGAAAGAAACCCTTCTGCAACATCTGGGCAACCACATCACATGATTCCTTTAGTTTCCCTTCTCTTCTAAACCCATGCATTACAACACTGTATGTGATATCACTTGGAGTCCACCACTCCTCTGCACTGTTGTTTAGCAATTCCCAAGCCTCTGAAGTTTTCCCAGCTTTGCAGAGACCATTTAATAATGCAGTATGTGTGACTATGTTTGGCTTGCAGCCGTTCTTATACATATGCTTCATCATCTTTCTTGCTTGATCAATTTCCCCGATCCGGCAGAACCCATCAACAACTGCGCTATATGTCACAACGTCAGGGTGACATTCTTTTGAGATCATCTCACTTACAATCTCCTTTGCCTCAGCCATCCTCCCATTCAAGCAGAAAGAGTGCACAACTGCACTATATCCAACCTCATCAACACGAAATCTTTTCCCCTCTGACTCCCTCAAGAACTCCAACGCCTCATCTGCATGCCCATGCTTTGCAAGCACATGGATAAGCATGTTATACGTGACCTGATCTGGAAATAGACCCGCATCATTCCTCATCCTCCCAAGCAAATCCCGCACCTCTGCCACCCTCTTCTCCTTGCACAAGAAGCCCATCACTGTATAATAGGTAATCTTATCAGGTGGGCACCCATTTTGCAGCATTACACTGATCATCTCTAGCGCCTCAACAACCCTCCGCACGCTACATAACCCCTTAATAAGGCAATTGTATGTGACTACATCCGGCTCGACCCCAACACGCCGCATCCGGTCGCTAAACTCAAGCACCTTGTCGATGCGCCCCGCAAACACAAGCACATTCACCGCCACGTTGCATATCGATATGTCAGGCGCGCACCCATCCTTCTGCATGAGCTGGAGCACGCGCATGGCGGAGCGGAGCTTCCCCGCACGGCTGTATGAGAGCATGAGGTGTGCGAACTGCTGAGTCCCGCGCCTCATGCGGCGACGGATCATGAGGCGCATGACGCGCCGGGCGGGGTCGTGGAGCCTGGTGTGGCTGAGGAGGCTCAGCATTTCGTCGAACACCTCCGGGGCGTGCCGGTAGCGCCACTGGCGATCTGCCCAGCGGAAGAATTCGAACGCGGCGCGGGTGTCCGTCTGCGCCTGCGCGCGGAGCACGGCGCGGACCTGCGGCGGGGAGAGCACCCGGAGCAGGTGCCGGAGCTGCGCCTCCAGCTTCGGGGTCCACGAGCCGCGGAGCTCGAGCAGCTTGCAGGTGTCGCGCACGAGGCGGCTGCGCGACTCCTCCGCGAGGTCATCGTCGCGGGGCGTCTCCTGGACGAGTTCTCCCGCGGCGGCCGAGGAGGACGCGGCGGCGGTGCAGAGGCGGCGGGGCTGGAGGAGGAGGAGCAATGGGTTTTTGGCTAGATGCCCAGCCATGGCGCCCGCTCGCGTGCGCGAGAGGAAATGCGTTTGGTGGTTAGGAAAGCGATTGGCAAATGGCCGGAGGGTGCCGCCGGCGGCGGCGGCGGCGGGCGGCAGGTCACTGGTCGACGAGCCGGAGCAGGCTGTGTGGGGTCACAGCGTCAGGGCAGCGCATATACCTTTTTGCTAGGATCTCCACTTCTCCAGTAGTCGTACGATTTTGCAATGAAACCCATGTGAAGGAGAAACAGTACCTAGCTTCTCCATCTTCAACTCTTTTGTCTGCTCCACCCTAGTCTTGCACTGTCTTTTAAGAGCAACTCTAACAAAGTCATCATATTGATAAAAAATGCTTATGGGGCGAGGTGGTGCGCAAACTCGGAGTTTCCATATTTGTTGCCTCCATAATCGTGGTTAAAGAGCAGTGCGGTTCGTGTTCGGGGATGGCCGATGGTTGCAGCCCATGACGGTCGTGCTGGCTCGTGGGATAAGATGGTTTGCATGAAGCATGAAAAGAGGCGTGAGGACGACATGTCTAGTCTTTCTCGATTTTGTCAATGGGCAGCGCCGGTTACGAGGTCTGGATGGCACGAGGACAACACTCGGCTAACATGACCTTTCCCTAGTACGAGAGGACCGGGAAGGACGTACTACTGGAGTGCTAGTTATCATGCCTATGGTAAACGTTAGGTAGCAAAGTACAAAGTGGGTAACTGCTGAAAGCATATAGGTAGTTTATGTTTGCCCACGCGTGCAGCAGGCCGGTCTTTGGTTCACAAAGCCCTAACAGTGATGATGCCCTCCTGGCTATGACAATGAAGGAGGTACCTCTCCTATGTCTCCGGCAACTACCTCAGCGGCTTTGGGGATAAAAAATGATCGATTTGTGCAGGGGGCCTAATTGAATTGTTTATATTTTAATTCCTTCCTGGGCTTCTTCATAGAGTTTCCAAGGCAGTTGTCGTGCCTGTCTAGTAATTTCATTATGTATGGGTTCATGTAATTTTACTTTAGTATACTGACATACACTACACGATTACCCTGGAAAAAACATGGGACCCACTTGTCCATAGGGCATCCCGTTTCCTCATTCTCCATGCCATCCATGTGAGGTGAGAGAACACGCGAAGTTTTCTTTTCATAAGTCAGTCATGAGACGCCAAATATGAAATAAATTACGACGATTCTAACATGTATGGTGACTATGCTAGAGTGTCTTTCTTTGGTCAATACGTCGTCTCTACTAGAATTTTGTTGTCGTTGAGAAAACCCATCAAATCAAGCTTTATTGATTAGATAAAAGAGTTACATCGTTCACCAAAATCATGAAAAATAAAGTCAGGGGAATCAACATCCCAAACACAAGTTCTAGCCATAGCCACAACATTGGCCTCTCTATTACAATATTATCAAACCAATGAGAAGAATATTATAATCCATGTAAACTACACTTGCCGAAGTAGTGGTGAAACCTCTATTATTAATGGTTTGAACAACCGTAAGACAATCACTGTGAATTGTGAAAGAGTTGGTACCTATTTTATTGTGCAATTTGCAATCCCTTTTTGAAAGCAAATGCTTCAACCATCGCTGCATCGACAACATGGGGAAGATGGCACTAGGTACAACTAATGCACTCACCTTTATAGTCTCTGATAACCACACCAACTTCATTGTCACTTGAATCCTCTCTAGACGCATCATCCACATCGATTAGTAGCTTCCGTTTCATTGGCTTTTTCCAACATTCTCTCAGCACCCCACCCTTCCAATTGCTCGCATACTTATAGTTAGTCATCCTTCTGCGAGTGCTCTAACACCCCACGTGTAACGCCCCAGATCCGATGCGCCAGGTGTCCACCAGTTATTCGTCGTCGTTTCCATGTCATTTGCTTGCGTGTTGCATTTTGCCATGTCATCATCTGCATTTCATCTGCATGTTTTTTAAAACTTGCATCCGTTCGGGTTCCACCGGTTCTCTCCGTTGTCCGTTCGGAGTCCAGACCTCTCACACGCGCCCGTCGTCCCCTCTCAGACCTTGTTTCATGAGCGGGTGTTCAACATTCTCGTAATGGACCGTGATTTTCCAAGCGGCCTTGGTACACCACCGATAGACCGCCTGTCAAGTTTCGTGCCTTTTCGAGTCCGTTTGATACTCCAACGGTTAACCGGGGTACCGTAAAGGCCTCTTTTGTGTGCAGACCAACACCCCTCCAAAGTGGCCCAATAACCCATCCAAACCCTCTCCATGCTCTCGGTCGTTCGATCACGATCGTGTGGGCAAAAACCGCTCCTCATTTGGACTCTCCTAGCTTCCCCTACCTATATATTTGCCTCCCCCTCCTCATTTTTTCGTGGTACAAACCCTAGTCATCCCCCGCCGCCACCGGACACGTCCGGCTTCACCGGACACGTCCGGCTTCACCGGACATATCCCACCGCCGCCCGCAGCCAATCACAAGCCGCCACGTGGTGCTCCGCCGCCCACCGCCGCCACAGCCCGCCGGCCCAGGCGCGGCCCGTCCGGCCCAGTTCGACGCCC